AGCTCACTTCCGGGGCGGGTGGCGATGGCAGGTGAGAGTGGGGGGTTCGCTCGGGCTGGGAGGAGCCGTTGCCGAGCGCCCCGGGACTTGTCTGGGGTGGGGGAGACCCCTGCTAGACGTTACATGTAGCGCGCGGTACAGCCAGACGCTGCGGATTGCAGGTTGCGCCGTGAACCCTGCGCTGCACGTAGACCGGTCACACGTTACATGTACTGTGCAAGTATGGGCGACTGGTGCCTCCCGAGGCTGGGGGGGCACCAGATTGCCGATGGCGGGGGGAGGGGCACTTCTGGTTTCGCGGCTGGCGCTTCCAGGGGGTGCACAGCCGATCTCAGGGGGTGCACCCCCTACGTGTTGCCAGTGGTGCAGTGAATCACGTACGGCACGCAGACCAGCCGCATGCTATTATTTGTATGTATTGCTCAGTGAACTGCACAATACTTGTAGACTGGCCACATGTGAAGTAATTGTCACAGGAGGAAAAAAAGGGACTAGCTGGCTCTAAAAAAGTGCTAAGTTGCAACAGTTAGTGCTAGTGTCAGCTCTACAGCTGGTTGCTGCCCAGCTTTCATGGGAATGTGCAGCAGGGCCCCATGTTGGTAGCAAGGGTATCTGCCCACAATTGTTGCTGGTCCTGTAGCAATTACCAATTCCCACCCCTTGATTTATGGCAGATCTATGATGGTGAAGAGGGAGAGGTGCATCATCACAAAAAAATCACACATTTTTCTCCCATTAAAAATAAACTAGAAGCTTTATTCATCTACTAGGGGCCTAGGGCTGCATTATTCACTTTAAAATGGAAGCAGAAACAAGTAAAGTCAAACTTCATTGGAATAAGTCTATACTGATGGACCATGAAGACTATTAAAAAGACGAGAGGGTCATTAACACCTGTGGAATGAAGAGTTTAGAAAGGATCAGGTAGATTATAATGAGTCATGAAGTCAAGTGACTCCATCAGCTGCCTGACTAAAAATGCTGCTGGCATGGCCAGGAAGTTGGTTTTAAATTTTCAGTACATCAGGAATCAAAAGGGGCACAAAGGCACCAGTGCACATCCCCCTGGATCTGCCCCTGCCCTTACCCCTATGATTTTCTGTATAAAAGTGGGAAAAAAACCCTGATTTTAAGAAATTGAGCATCAGCCCACAAAGCATGTGCCCTCTCTTTATATCTTATCTAGTATCTCTACCTTGCCTTCTGACTGACTTCAGACCAACATGGCTCTCACTACCTCTCTCTTAAGTTACTGCCATTCTGCTAAATTGTTTCATTTTCTCAGCTGTCACCAAGGGAGAAGCAGAGAAAACATCACATGGACATGTGCAACTACAAGCACCAGGTGGAGCAGCACTTCAGTTCCTTGTCACAAGTTTTAAAGCTGCTTTTTCTTTCCTTTTTACATAGCAAAGAGCCCCGCAGTTGTGACTCCCAAAAGACCTGTCTTATCTGTTAGCGCAAGGAAAATTAAGGATAACGCAGCAGATTGGCATAATTTAATGATGAAATGGGAAAGCTTGAATGATAAGGGTTTCACGGCTGCCAACAAAATTGTGAACCTGAAAATTAGCACACAGTGAGTATTTACACACAGTGAGTATGGCAAAATATGGCCTATGGGCCAGATCTGGCTTGCCAAGGGATTTTATCTGACCTGCAGCAGGTCCCTTGGCCCTGCCCAGCCCAGAAGCAGAGGACAGCACAGCCATGGCACATGTAGTCAGTCCCACTGCTCCCAAGCACAGAGCAGGGGCAGCATGGCAGCCAAACTGCTTCTCAGGAGCAGCCCCTTTTGACTGCTGCCACTAGCATCTCCACTGCTCCCAGAGCTGACACCGCTGCCCAGGCAACCCTGGCCCATTTGCCCTGCAGCCACCACCAGGGGCACAAGGGAGCAGGAGGGCAGAGCATCCGTGAAGACTGGCTGGGAGCCCTGCGGGCAAGGTATGCCTCACCAGGAAGGTAGGATGGGACAACAGGGAGCAGATCATGGCTCTGCCCTAGGCCTCAGCCCTGCGCTGTCACTGCCTTGGGATCTTGGCCCCCCACCTGTCCCACTCCTGGACACTGCTCCCTGCCTGTCCAAGTGTGCCCTGCCTGCAGGGGTCCTGGCTGATCTTCATGGAGATCCCACCTGCCTGCTCTGTCCAGCACCCCCAGTGGTAGGTGCAGGGTGGATATACCCCAGCCAGATAGTATCAGTTGACCCCTTGTGCTGCAGTAGGTCAGCACCTGCCCCCCTAGCTCTGGCTCCAGTCCCAGCCTCTGTGCCGGCATCCCTTCCCTGTTCTGCAG